TATTTGTGATTTATTTTAGAACATTTTTTATTTATGAAAAGTGACATTTGTCATTAAGAGAGGCATTTGCATGTTCTTATGAAGTAATTTTGTTGAGCTGTCTTTGTTACAAGTAGTTGTAATTTTAATACAGAATCAAATTATTTGCTACCTGAAGTGATAGTTCAAATACAAGTAGCAATTCTTTTTGCATTTAGATCTTGGTAAGGCTATTACATTTTTTTAATTTACATGAAATTTTCATTCAAAACTCTTTTCTTTCTCTTACACTAGCCCTCAGAAAATAAAAATGCACAAAAATATGTAACTTTTAAATGGGGCAAAGATAATTATTTATAATAATAAGTGATACCTGTATAATGATTTCCAAATTTTACCATAAATAAAGTTGGTTTTTGGAACTTTAAAGTGATAAATGGAAAAAATTGAAATGTGTAAAATTACCAAGGAACCTTATATATAATCCAGTTAGAGTCCAATTATTTTCAATTATGCACAATGGGATGTCTGTGTAAATATATACACAATGGTACTTTAAAAAGTTTGTGGAAAATGGAATTAAAAGATAATATGAATCTTTCTGTGAACTGGTTGAAGTACCCTTGTATATGTACACATGCACACATATCTATCTATGTTTTTATATATGGGAGAGTTTGTATAAGTCAGACATAAACTACACACCCAGAACAAATTGTGATTCTATGGGAAACTGAATACATTATGTAAATACTTTACACTTCTAGGGGAAAAAAAAATAAAGCTGTGATCTGAATAAAGCTTTTGATCCCTGCAAATTAGTCCTCTATGAAATGAGTCAGATTCTCCCAGTGAATAAATTTCTCCTATGGAGTCAGGCTTCTTGAGAAGAGTGATCATGTCTTACTCATCTTCATAGGCCATGTCACCCCAGCACAGACCTTTCCATATAGCAAACTGTTTGTACATGTTTATAGAGTGAATAGGGTCCTTTTGGGAAGTAACACTATAATCACTACATGGCTTTCCAAAATACCTTTCTGACGACTAGAGAATTTCCTGATATCTGACTAAGATGGTCTAATTTGAAAAGCCATCCCATTGTGGGGAGTACACAGAGGGCATCTCATTATCTTTAATGCTGTACAGTGGTTCTGCAGAACAAGCACAAGTTATTACTCATTATTTTCAAAATGTCTGAAAATATGTCATGTATTTATGTCTATAGACAAATATAAGGTGTTTCCCTTATTTCTGTCCAAACTCCTATTTCTTGTTTACTGCAATGCCTCCTGTTCTCCTGTTTTTCATGGCTTATATTAACAAACAGTCAGCATAATTGTTTTATTCCTTAACTATAAGAATGTTTTATATTTTCAGAATTTCTTTTACACTCAACATTTTTCCTTTGGTTATATGTCAGACTTTTCATACAAAGTGATTTTACTCTATTTTGCTACTCTTAAATTGATAAGGAAGGGTTTGAAACCTGGTCAGCAATCTCCTTTAAAGCCTAAGAAATAAAAAGCTGAAATCTTAGTGGAGGAAATATTTATAAGATCTCAAAAGGTACTTTTTCTGATAAATAGAAGCTCTGAGGGCATTAATCAGCACTTACATATTTTTCATCCCTGAAAAATGAAGCTGAAAGAATTATTTATACAACTTTCATTTATTTCTATTCACTAGACTTGACAGTGTGTCTTGATTTGCTCTATTACTATGTTTGACTCTCATTTGCCTTATTAATCTGGCTCCTTACTTCTTAATGAGATATAAGCATTTTTATAAAATTAACAGGGAGATTATTTGCATGCTTTTGTGCTTTGATTTTAACCAACCTAAATATTCTACTGTGCTTGGTTCCTATGCCTAACCATTATAAAAATATGAGGATACTTCCAAAAGTTAATGGAAAAATAGAGTTGAAAGATAATACAAATCTTCCTATGAACTTTTGGAAGTATCTTCATATCTTCCATACTCTCAAAATATAAACAGCTTTATTGTGGAATAATATAAAGTGGTATGCAATTGGGGGGGTTGTATTTATTGCAAGGTATGGAGCTTACCAAGGAATAATGATTGGATGTTAATACTTCCTCCTCTTATAATAGAAGTTTCAAATTCCTGTGGTGTGTCCATGTACTATTTGGTTGAAACTGCTTTGTTGCAGGATTTTGTTCCCTATGTTGACATAGCTCTGTTTTCTCTTGGTGAGTGCTTCTGCTGTTTTCAGTGACAAGGCTTATAACAACTGTTAAGTATTCAACAAAATCTCAGATTGGTCCAAATACATTATTCCAAGTGTTATACAACATGGTGTGGAAATGAGGTGCTCAGTATTCCAGCTGAATGACTCAAAATAAGTTTGTTAATTCAGTATGTTAAAAAGTGGACAGATGCCAGTTTATCCCTTTGGGTTTACTATAATTATTGCTCTGTCAATATCATGAATGTAAACACCTCCCTTAGAATAGGATAAAAATTATTTAGTTTTCTCTTCCAGCTTCTAGATATTTGGTTTTCTAAGCTTTCACTATAAAATTAAAGCATAGAGTTTGACATTAAAATGCTGTTCCAGAACCTACCCTTGGTAACGAGGCCTATTTCATGTAAATACAATTTAAAGAGAATATGAACTATAAAATTAAAGCATAGAGTTTGACATTAAAATGCTGTTCCAGAACCTACCCTTGGTAACAAGGCCTATTTCATGTAAATACAATTTAAAGAGAATATGAATGACAGCCTGAAGGAATCCATAGTAGAATAAAGGTAGAAAATTTAAACTTGTGTTTTTTCCTTCAGTGAAACAGATGCAGTTTGCATTAATTTATCAGGAAAAAAATTGCAAAAAAATACTTATATGCATATTTGTTGACCAACTATTTGTCTGCTGTTTGCAAGAAGATATTAAACACCTCAGACTGTATCCAGCTGTTAGTTTATGCTGTTAATTTCTGGCAGTAAAATACTGGCTAAGTCAATATATTAGCAGATTGGGTACCAGTCAAACTTATGGAATTAGTTTAGAAACAGCCAATGTTAGATACCAACAAACCTTTCTGGTAAATCTCCTAGTGTGTAAGTACTGTATGGTAAGAGTTATGAGTATATAAAATGTAAAGAAGTATATAACCCCTATATGTGAAGAGCTAGTTAATCCCCCATGATATTTAAAGGTTCCCCATTTTTATATGTTAGAATAATAGTGTATCTACTTTTTTTTTAATTGGAAGGCCATTGTGTATTATATGAAGAGTTTCGTACACATTGGATTTTACACTATCCTATGGATGGGTGTGTTAAGATTTAAAGTTAGTTTGAATTATATGCTGTTTTGTAAAGAAAGTAACAAAAGTTTCAGAGTTGTAATCTAACAAATATGAGTAACATAGGCCTAGGGGAAGTTGCAGGCTGTCCTCTGTGTGTGCGGGGAGCAAAGAAGGACGTAGACACACATATGTAACTGCTGGAGAGGGTAGTGGTCAAGAACAGAAGGTAGGTTAGTACCACCTGTAAAGGAAATTACCACTGTTGTAGGAGAGCTTGGGCTGTGTTCACAGATCTTAGTTTTTAGTGTTGCCAAGGATATTAGGAACCATCTAATTCATTTGCTAGATGGAGGATTTGAAGTTCAGAAAAGTTGAATGACTTATCTAAATTCACACAGCATGTTTTTGGCAAATTCAAAACAGGAAGCCAGGTCTCCTTCCATTATACCACAGTTATAGGATAACAGGACGTTAATGAGGATTTGAAGAAGTTAAGTGATTAAATCAAAATGGCACATCAACACTTGAATTTGATGATGGTTGTTAAGATCCACTTAAGAGAACAGAATGGAAGACAGGGACACTAGAAAGAAGAATGTTCTAGAATTCCTAGTTAGTAGTAATGAGGAACTGGACAAAAATTTTGACAGCGAGTTGGAGAATCAGAGGGAGGTTTGAGAAATGTAGTGAGGAAAGAAACCGGGCACTTTGTGCTTCCACTGCAAATGTTCTCCCGTGTATACCAGTTAGTGTCTAGTTCTTCACTGCTAGTGCTTCTGGGGGAGCAGGGGACAAAGCTTTTCCATTCCTAGCACTTAACACCATGGGCGAAGTTCAATATATACTTGTTGAGTGAATAGTCCTAGAAGTTGTCTGTCTGTAGAGAATGGAAAAGACTGATCATTTGAAGCCAGACTGAATCATAATTATAATAACACAGTTTGACAAGAAGAACAGTTGATGAAGACTAAGACTTCGGAAATGCCATGGTGAGATATTACATCATTGCACATAAATTTGAAAGGACAGTTATCACTGACTAAAATACAAAGGAGATAGTAATGAATATATCAAGTATTGAATATATTCGATAGGTAGGAAAAAGTACCATGTGTTACCCATGCGGACAGGGAGAAAAAAAATGTAATTTTTTAAAAAATAGAGTTCACCACAGTTTCATCTAATAATTAAGGCTTGAGCAATATTCAAAAATTGTGTATTTGTAGTATAAATCTACAAGAGAAAACTTCCAGAGCAAACATTACCACACAAACCATTATAATGTGAGGTCATGCTCTGGAACAGATTGGCAGAAAGACTTCATTCTTTTCCCATGTTTCATTCTTTTAAAGGCAAATATTGCCCTTTCAGGTTTTTTTGATGATAGCCTGATTTTTTTGTTTGTTTGTTTGTTTGTTTGTTTGTTTGTTTGTTTGTTTGTTTGTTTGTTTGTTTGTTTGTTTGTTTGTTTGTTTGTTTGTTTGTTTGTTTGTTTGTTTGTTTGTTTGTTTGTTTGTTTGTTTGTTTGTTTGTTTGTTTGTTTGTTTGTTTGTTTGTTTGTTTGTTTGTTTGTTTGTTTGTTTGTTTGTTTGTTTGTTTGTTTGTTTGTTTGTTTGTTTGTTTGTTTGTTTGTTTGTTTGTTTGTTTGTTTGTTTGTTTGTTTGTTTGTTTGTTTGTTTGTTTGTTTGTTTGTTTGTTTGTTTGTTTGTTTGTTTGTTTGTTTGTTTGTTTGTTTGTTTGTTTGTTTGTTTGTTTGTTTGTTTGTTTGTTTGTTTGTTTGTTTGTTTGTTTGTTTGTTTGTTTGTTTGTTTGTTTGTTTGTTTGTTTGTTTGTTTGTTTGTTTGTTTGTTTGTTTGTTTTGTGACTGGCCAGTACAGGAAACAAACCCTGCACCTTGGTGTTATCAGCACCACACTCTAACCAACTGAGCTAATCAGCCAGCTGATAGCCTGATATTTTATAAGAAACCTCAAGTACCTTTTTAGCCTCTAGAAATTCAACAGCACCCTAAACAAAATATGGAAGTAACTTTTCTTTGGAGTAACTTTGGAGTATTTGTTTCTTTGCCTTCACTTGTTTGCTCAAGAAACACTTGACTTTCAGCTTAAAATGGAGTGTTCTTTGGCTTTTCTAGCTCCTCTCTTTGGTCCTAATTCCTTAATCGCTGGTGGTTTCCAAAGCTTGGTCCTTGACCTTCCTTTCTTTCTGCCTGCTCTCACACCTTCACCTATCACCTCTGCCTTTGCATCTCACCTCTGATCTTTCTCTCCCTTAAGTCTCAGATACCACTTTTATTTTCTTGCTGGACATCTCACTCATCTGCTTTTATAGGACCTCAAATTAGACATTCCCCAAACAAACACATCATTTTGTCCTCAAAAAGTTATATTTTCTCAAAATGGCACCACCCTTCTCTTGGTTACAAAGGTTGGAGGACTCAAGATCGTCTTTAACTCTTCCCTCTTTCTCAGTCCACCCCTCCTATCCCCACAGTCCCACAATGTCCCTGGAGTTTGATTTATATTTGCTCCCATGTCCTCTTTATTGTGAATACAGTTTCTTACCCACTCTACCTAACATATCTGGCCTTCCTTCAAAGCCCAGCTTAAATTTCTCTTGAAGTCTTGAGTCACATATGAACGTAACCCCTCTTACCTTTGGACACATGTGTCATTTTATTTTAATGCCTTGTACGTCATCCATCACATTCTTTTTTTATACTGGTGTTTTGTATACTCTCCTACCTCTCATATTAGACTTTTCTTTTACTAATATTTTTTTATGGCAGGGTCTCTTCATTTTTCTTATTCCCAGGATACAGTAAATGCTCGATTTCTGTAGTAAGTGCTCAGCATGTTTGTTGAATGGATATGAATGTCCAATACTCTCGTGTCCTGAGGATATTTAATGATCAGAGATGCTGAAAGAGGCTAGATCCTTTATGAGAAAGTAATTACATGATCGGTAATGTTTTTATGTTTTGTTAATTGAAAAATAATACTGTTTTAGGTGTCAAATTGGTTTGCTAACGCAAGACGTCGGCTTAAGAACACTGTTCGACAGCCAGATTTAAGCTGGGCTTTAAGAATAAAACTATACAACAAGTATGTGCAAGGAAATGCTGAGCGCCTTAGTGTAAGCAGTGACGATTCGTGTTCCGAAGGTTTGTTCATATTTTTATTCTGCTTTCTTTGCTTTGCTTGTGTAATAAGTTCACCACAATTGCTATTTTTAAGTTATGGCCCACAAAACATGGTGGTGCCATGACGGCTCTTTTTTATTGCACAAGGTAACTTCATTTTTACCATACTGTAATTGACCAGCAGAATTATGGCCTTTTCCTCTTGTTTATAGGTTTATCGTGTGTCAGAATTACATTTTCTGTGAAATTCATTAAAATTAAAATACGATAGGAAGAAATTAGATAAATCCCTGCTTCCTTTTGCCTAAAAAGTAATCTTGAATATCAAAGATAATTTTATATACTTTAAATACCTTCTTTATCTATGTATTTAGTGATTAAATAATAACGATTGGGTGCTTGGGGGGAAAGTATGTATAAATACTACTTAGTGATATTTTTCCCTCTTAGATGGAGAAAATCCTCCAAGAAACCACATGAATGAAGGGGGCTATAATACTCCAGTTCATCCTGTGATTAAAAGTGAGAGCTCGGTAATAAAAGCTGGAGTGAGGCCAGAGTCGCAGGCCAGTGAGGACTACGTGTCACCCCCAAAATACAAGAGCAGCTTGTTGAACCGTTACCTTAACGACTCTTTGAGACATGTCATGGCCACAAACACTGCCATGATGGGAAAAACAAGGCAAAGAAACCATTCGGGATCTTTTAGCTCCAACGAATTTGAGGAAGAATTGGTGTCTCCATCGTCATCAGAAACCGAAGGCAACTTTGTCTATCGCACAGGTAAGCCTGTGCTTTTTGTAGTAATTACTGTGACACTGTGTTTAAGACAAAATTAAAACTGCAGCAGAAGGGTTTATTTTGACAGTTATCTGATTACTCTTATGTTGCCCAAAATTCAGTTTGTTAAAACTTTCATTTTGTTCTTAATTGCCAATTGATACGTTTGTTGGTAGGTGATGGCCTTACAAATACTGAGAAATTTCCAATTTAGATAATGTTAAGAATTTTCATGCTTAATGATCATTTTAATCTTAATGGTAAAAGTGTTTAGAGGAAGGATATATTGGCCTTTATGAATAATATACTGGAGGAAAGTGCTGGGTTGTAGCCAGTCATACAAATACTTTGTATTCCATCTTTTCTCTTAAATGCTTTGATTGCTAATAGTGATAGGAAATGAACACAAATTAACATGCGTGCTGAGCTTTTGTGAAAGAAAAGTATAGGTCTGGCTTCAGTTGCTTTGAAAATTTTTCTTTCATTCCTGGAAAGCATAAGTAGGGCTGATAAATAGCTTTGGAAATTTTACTTTTATTCCAGAAATAATGAATCGATTTCTACCTGTCCAAAACTTTCAGATGGAGTAGCAAGTTTGGTAAAATTTTCTGTCTCGACTTCAGTTCCCAGAGAGATTTGATCTTAAGGAGTGTTTGAGCAGGTTGCTTTGGATCAAGGCATATGCATGACCTGCATCTGGTATATATAGAGTCTGGGTCTTGAAAATGCGAACAAATGAGATTTATAATGTTAGAGCTGGAAATAACTTTAGAAAGCATCTAGTCCAGTCACACATGTCACCGTGAAGAAAGCCCAGACCAAGAACACATAGTAGTTACTCTTCTCTACATTAATAGTGCAGCTGAGCCTGCACAAGAGATAGGAGGAATGTCACTACTCCTAGACTACTATTACTGTTATCATTATACCTATTGCCACCAATCACTTATTGAATAGTTATGATATGCTAGGCCCTATGATAAATACTATATGAATGTTACTACATTTAGTCCTCACAATATTGAGGAGCTTGAAATATGAACAATAGGGCTTTATAAAATAAGCTAAATTTGGTCTGTTAAATATGCCTTTCAGATTATTTAGCCATAAATCTGATTTTCAAGTATCTACAAATGTGTACAAGATATATGATCTATGAGGAATCAGAGAAAATTTCAGTAGGTTTTTAAAGACTTAATCTTATTTTCTGTTGGCATCTTCAACTCCAACAATAAAAACAACTTCGAGTCTCAAAAATACAAAAATAATCTTATAAGTAATAGTTGGATCTAGGCAAAATAAAAAGTAAAAGGCTATTTAGCCAATAATGAAAATGAAGAAACTACATCTAACTAATGTTACCAGAGCAAAACTTGGAGGTAATTCAGAGCTTTATGAATGTTTATTTTCTGAAGAAGGAAAACAAAGTTATTCAAATACAGATAATTGAAAAAAGAGTAATAATATAACAAAAAAAGATAAAATAGAAAGCTGAAAAATAGATAAGTTAATCAACAGTTGACTCTTTGAAAGCAATAATAAAACAAGCAAAAATTGACACAAATTAAAGTTGCAAATGACAAGAGATATAGCAACCAATACATAGTTATTAAGCAAGAAAGATTATTTTAAATTATGACGAAGTACTATACGTAGTTGGACTATATACTATGTGTAAATGTATGTATGAAATGATTTGGTATTATTGACACAAATTAAATTATAAATTCATAAATAAGAAAAGTTTTAAATCACCAATAACTCAAGAAAAATTAAAGTTTTTAGTAAACCAAGTTCCCAAAACACATGACTCGATAGATCTGTTGGTGTTTTTTCCTTAAACTTTGAAGAAATATCACCAATAACTCAAGAAAAATTAAAGTTTTTAGTAAACCAAGTTCCCAAAACACATGACTTGATAGATCTGTTGGTGTTTTTTCCTTAAACTTTGAAGAAACAATTAATTTGTATGTTTCATACATTTTTCTGGAACATATAAAAATACAAGAAGCATCTCAGTTTTTGAAAATGTAAATGTTATCCTAATCCCAAACCAGATTAAGATAGCATAAAAAATCAAAATTTTTATTTATGATACTGATACTATGAAACAACATGAGAAATATTTTTAATGTAATATTAAGAGAAAAATAATTCAAAATTGTGAAAACACTGAATACATCAAAAAGTTCATGGAAAAATGGAATTAGAAGATAAAACGAATCTTTCCATGAACTGTTTGAGGACACCTCATACAAATGTGCTTAGACAAAAACAGGAAAGATTTTTGGAAAAAATGAAATTAATTTTAATGAGGCAGGGTAATTGGTAATTTGTTATCTGTTGTTTCAAAATAGTTTTTTCTTATAAATTTCTTTTTGTTCAGTAAAAACAAGGTCATATGCCTATGAAATTTACCCAGTGTGGTGAGTCTTCTGAAAGTGCATGCTCTTTTCAAAGGTGACAAAATACAAAGTCAGAACAGCGTGCCTGTATTGTTGATGCTTTTCAAAGTTAAATATCTCGGCTGTTTATTTTTATGAAAGCATTCCAAATGCACTTGGTCCATATTATGGACTATTCATTTGCCAAGTTCTATTTTTAAATAAAAGCCTATTTTTAGTTATACAAGCAATGAGAAAGCAACCTAGACACGGGAACTTCTGGATTTTCATGCATGTGTATAAACTTAAAAAGAATAGACTAAATTTTTTGTTTTGATGGATGGAGAATTAAGAAAAACTGGTGACCTAAGACTGATCTGGTAGGTTTCAGATCAAAACAATAAATATCTGTCTTGTGTGGGAACTGAGTGACAGTGTTGCTGTAATTGTAACTGGGTTACCATGAGTGTATAAATAGATCAGGGGATTTCAAGAACTAGTTTCTGAGCAACTGCTATGGTTTTCTCTGGCATACAGCCTTATTCTGAATTCCTTCAATTCCTTCTGGTTATATCTTTCTTTCCTCTCCTATATAGAAATTTTCTAAGTCTGCTGTTAATATCCCCTTCCCCCAAATGCTACAGTAGTACAAACACTTTTAACTTTCAATTTTTTTTTCATGTACGCCTTTAAACACAATTTATCAGTTTGTCTCTATTAAGAAATTTTATCCATTTATCCACCCATTTTTGTAAAAGGGTTGCTGTCTTATGGTGCATTTCATGAACTATATGGAATTAAAAACCCAAATGAAAGTTGGTGTTTGGAAGGATAACATATCGTTGAATTTTGTTTCACTTATTAAATTCTAGGAGGGAGAAGCCTTGTGGATTATAAAGTAGTGATCCTAACTGAATATATTACTAGAAACCATCAAAGCAAATGCAAACATATTTTTATTGATTTTATGTTGACATTATTTCTCTGTAATCCATAGTCTTTGGCATCATGCCAGGGGCAGAGCAGTCTCTTAATAAATATTGGTTGAAACATTCCTGACAGCAGTAGTTCTAACATTACATTTGATTAGAATCATTAAGATCATTGCTTCTAAATACAATTAGGTAATACTTAAAGGAAATTTAGTCACTCAGGGTCATCTGTTGAATTAAGTCATCTAAATTAAAATAATAATCCATTTTCATCATGTTAAGTTAATGCATGGTATTTTCAGATGTTTGTTGGAGTCAATTTTCATTACAAAGTGACATCCAGACCTCTGTCCCCTAGGTGGGTCTGCCCTCTGAGGTGTCAGGATAAGGACTCTAGCCATGATATTCACTCCTGTTCCTATTGAATCAATGCTCATATTCCCTAGATGGGACCATCTCTGCCACTTCACAGAGTGAGTCCTCACTAGAACTTTTTCTAACTTGGATTAGAGTTTGACTTTACCCTCAAAACCAAGCCTATTAATTTCCTTCTCTGCTGAAGGAGGAAAAAGAAGTTTCTAAGAAAAGTACAGATAAGGGGGAAATCAGGCAAGTCTTGAAATAAAACATGTGAACTTCCCCTCTTCTTTTGCTCAGTTTGAGGACAAGTCCCTATTGCATGTTTTCTTCTCACAGCTCACAAATGAACAACTAGTAAGTGGCTAGTGCATTTGAAAGGTTACTCTCTGAGCCTCACTGCTCTGCCAGTAAGTATATAATTCATAGATTTAACCTGCTCCCAAGAGGCTGAATGTATAAACTTCATCTTGTTAAACTGTCTAAAATCCCTCTTAATTAGACACATCTGTTGTAGCCAAAACATCTAGGCGGAGAGCACTCTCTTCTGTTAGTGTGAATTTATCAGATTAGCTAGCTTCCCTCCGCTTGGCAGAGGTGAGTATCCCTGAAGAAGTGGAGATTTTAATTGAGAGAAAAAAGTGGTGCATGGGACACTTGGGAGGTCGGGCCCCTTCGGATGGCCTGCCATGGTTGGGGAGTTGGGCCAGAATGAGAGAACAAGGCATTTGGTTACTAAGAAAAGAGGAACTAGGAAGTAGAGAGTCTGGGAGGATGACAAAGGCCAACTACCATTTCCAAAGCTTTTTTCTTGGCTAATGATGACCCTCAAGGGGAGAAGTTCTTTTTTCTTTTTTATCTCTCTTCTGCACACTTATGTACTTTAGGATTTAAGCTTGTATCAGAAGTAAAAATCCATGGGCCGGCCTGGTGGCGCACTCGGGAGAGTGCAGCGCTTGCACTCCCGCCTCGGTTTGGATCCTATATAGGACTGGCCAGTGCGCTCAGCGTGAGCGCAGTGCGGGCGACACCTCACCAAGGGTTGCGATCCCCTTACCAGTCACGAAAAAGACAAAAAAAAAAGAAGTAAAAATCCAGGTAGTCTCATGAGTTCAATAAACCATTGATCAGCCTGGGATTTACAGCTTAGTTTATGTGGAGAAATGCACTCTCAGTTCTAAACAACTGATGTCATCAGTACTCTTATGGGACACAGTCCATCCGTAAGTGAGGTGTTCCTACGCGCGTCTTCATTCCACGTACAAAAGTCTCTATTAAGAGCCTGTGTTAGGCAGACTTGAGTCCTGTGTTTGGTGCTGGGCCGCTCATCAGTGAAACCGAATTGAAATGAACCACAAGAAAGATTTAAAAAGATGTTTTGGCTGATCTTTTTGAATGGTGAATAATCACCCCTAATTCATCTGTTTGATGAATTTCAGGTTTTGTATTTAGGAGCAGCTTAAAGAAAGTTTTATGGCAGTCAAGAGGGGGCTACTTCAGTAGCCATCTGTCTGTTAACGACAGTATGTGAGTGTGTCTATGTCTCCACTAGGCTTCTTTTGGGATTTTTTTGACCATTAAGTCTACTTTGGCTACTACTTTCTTAAAATTTTTATTTTAGTTCCCTCTTTGTGCTGTCACTTTCTTGTTTTTAGTGAAAGAATTAAGCTTCGCCGTTTTGGGTTATTCCAGACATTCTTTTCCTGGCATGCAAATGACTGTTGATGTACTCCAGCAGAGAATAATAAAACCTTCTATCACCAGCCCAGCTACTGACATTTAAAGGATACTTGAAAAGTTGTCCAAGTTCTTGTCTTGTACCTCACCTATGAAAAGCCATCTGAGAATAAGGTATTCCACATAAGTGAAATTTCCGGATAGCAGAAATTTAAGTAGCAATTTTTAAAATACAGAATTTTCTGCTCTCCTAAACATAAAACTAAACACGGCTTTTGGGATGTGCTTTCTGTTCCCTAAGCTCCATCCTTCTAGTGCTTCCTATATGCTATTCCACCCTTTTAAATCAGCAATGTTAGGGTTAACCACAATCCTAAACTTGCCCCTAACTCCTTTGAATAAAGAACAATGTCTTTCTGAAAGCTTTTCTGAAAGAGAACTTTCCTAATTACTTATTTCAAAGGAGTAATCTTTTAAGTGAGATTTATACAAATCCTAACCCAAAGGATTTGGATATGGTGGAGTGACTATAGAATTATAAAAACTTAAGCACTATTCTGAACACCATAGATTCTTAATATTTATCAGTGATGATGATGGTAAAACATATTTACATGTATTATTTCTGAAATTCAAATTAATTTGATTTTTGAAAATTACATTTTCTTTGTGGATTTACTTGCAAAATTTAAATGAAATTGCACCAGTGCTCCACTCGTTGTGAAGAACTGAGAGATTAATGGCAGACAAAAAAAGAAAGAGAGAACAAATATTGGCAGCAAGAACCCTTTGCTGTCTCCTTCACGGACGACTTTTCGTTCACTTTTCGTGGCTATTTGGGATCCTGGGAGAGCCAGAAAAAGTCTAAACGTAGGTAGATGCTGAGACCCACAGCCCATACAACAACATGGCTTACAAACAAATCGAAAGTATGAGGCATCTTAATTTAAAAAGTGTACAGATTTTTAGAGCTGTGTTTGAGCCTGACATTTTGTCCTTTTCCATTGTGTTGCCTAAGAAAGATAGCGACAATGATTTTATATTTGTCTGACTGTAGACAAACTGTTTTCTGAAATGCAGCTGCATTCCGTCTCTTCCTTTGGTACAAATCCTCACTGCCTTGTATGTATTTAAAACTATTTGAGGCCCTGAAGTTGTGTTACATTAATTTTTATAATCCCCCTAGCACTTAGTACAGTGTTTTTCACATATTTGCTCTATAAGTGCTTCTTAAATGAATGAGTTAGTGTTTTAATGATTTAGTCTGTCTGCTCCTTAAATCATAGAAGACATTGAATTTACATATGTATGTGTTGATCTGGATCTGTGAACATGACAAGAGAAAGAAAAGGGAACTGAATAAGTTTAAATTGGTAAAAAAAAAAACTTTTTTAAGTAAAATGTAAAATAGGGAAAAAAAAGAAAAAAAAAATGAAGCATAAAACAATGAAACTTTTAAGAGATTCAAAATAAAAACTTAGAAAGTATAAAATGAAACTAAATCAATTTTCAAGTAAAAGAGTGACTTCCAGGGAAATTCAAGGATGATAAATGGGAAAGGTTAGCTAGTTTAAAGAAAATCCACCAAAGAATTAAAAATATAGCAGATAGACAAATAAAAACAAATGGAGCTTTTAGAAATTTGACTTGACTCAGTAATGATATTTTAATGTTTATCTCTACCTAGTACATAACCTTGTAGGTGAGACTGAAGAAACACAGCACAGATTTAGACCCACTCCTTCATACTCTTCTGCTGCATCCCCTCTCAGGGTTGAAGAAAATCCTGACTTTTTAAGAATGACTATTTTTAATCACATGTCAAAATAGGAGAAAGTCCAAGCAGAACTTTTACATTTTCTCTCTCCTCCAGGTGTAAGAGTAAAGATTCCATACATTTGACGTATTTTTCTGTTAAAAACAACTTTACCAGCATGAAATTTTGTTTCTACAGAGACATTCTCTATATTTTGGCATTACCGTTCTACTGGTATCTATCAGCAAATTAATTGTAATTGATTTTCTGATACGTCATACATTTCAGATTTGCTACAATCGGTCAGTCACATCCTGGTGTAGTATCATAGAAGTGCTTGTTCATGTCACCATATTTAAGATGGTGTCAGTATTTCCATTAAGAGACTTTTTTCATTCCCTAGGGCCTCTAAATAAGTCATAAAAATTCAAGCCAAACTCAAAGCTGGCATAAAAAGGTCTTTTTTTCCTTGTCCTATATATAAGGAATATAAGTGCGTAACTCCACTAATTCTAAATTTAGTTAGGTTTGTAAACTCTTTACACACTAACAAGACCAAATAAGACCCATTGACACCTCTGTAGCCTGAGACCAAAAAGGATGTCAAAAAGTTTTTATTGTCTGTGAAAATAACAAGGGTTCTATTTAATGAATGTGGAAGTGGTTTCTTTTTTTCTTTCTTCCTTTTTTTTTCCCCCCACTTAGTTGTAGTTAGTTTTTCCCTTCTGCCTCCCTACTTTGTTTCTAAAATTAAACAGATATTTTTCTATGGCAAAATTTGTCTTGTTGATGTAGCAGAATTTTTACTCAGTATAAATATGTGTTTTCTTCCAGTTCAGGATTTTGGTACTTTTAAATTTTGGAAACTTATGTTCTTGTTTTCTGTTATGAGTGATATCATTTATAATGGTGAGTTTTGAGGAAGCAGAAAAAAAGCAATAATAAACTTTTTCACTTTGCCCAATTTCTTTCACAAATTTTGGATTTTTTCTCAGTTTCAATTTAAATGAAGGATGGCATGTTTACATAACAGCTATATTATAATGAGCCTTTTGTCCCTTTCCTCTCTGACAGCTTTGTTACCTAACTTCTCTCAGTTTCATTGTACTAAAGAGGTTAAATAATAGTCAGGGATTATTGAAAATCCAGCAGTCAACTTTTAAAGGATCTTTCAATTCAATCCTTTATTTTTCAGATTAGGAAATTGCTTTAGGCGCTACACTAGGTGCTGAAAGTATTCACTTTTTGCTTATGAGTTGCTCCCTTGCTTGGAGATGTGATCCTGATCTTTGGTACAGTAAGTCTAATTGCTTTTGGCAATTCCAGGTACTGAATTGACTTTTATTTACAATCATTAGTGTTGAACTTTTGAGAACTTGTGGTAGGTGTATGTGCATTTCTAAAAATTTCTGTTTTAATGGCTACAATGTAAAAGTCTTTACACAAGTTGATATTATAAATTGCTAGTTGTAGTAGCCATACAGTACCTAGGGACCATCCTTTGGGTATTAAGGGAAATAGGAATGGTTCACAGAAGATCCCTAATAGTTAATACCGGTAGCCAAAGGTCTCTGTGCTGTGTGCACGTGTGTGTGTGTGTGTGTGTGTGTGTGTGTTAAAAGTAGTAGTAGCAGTTGGAATTGAACATAGTTGGATATGCAGAATAACTTTTGCAAATGACCCATGGTATCTTCCCTGTGCCTTGTGCATATGCTGGAGACACTGAAGTCATTACCAG